ATAAATAAAATTCAAGATTAAGGGTTCATAATGTAAGGTTCATCGCAAATCTTAGCACATGAAAATCTAGCCTAACATAATGGGAAATAAAGAAAAGCAATAATTAAAACCAAGGAAGAACATTACCCAATTGATTCTTGAAGTGAAATCTTGAATCTTGAAGTGGATTGCCTTGTTTTTGCCTTGTTCTTCCTCTCCAAATCCTCCAAATTTGTGTATAATCCCCTCCAATTCTGTAAAAGTGGCGTCCCCTCATTCTGGTCGAGTTTTAGTTTATATAGAACCCTAAAAATCTTCTTTCCATAAGAGTTTCGGCGAAATAAGGAAACTGCTGAATCGGCCCCGAATCTTGTTCTATGCGACCGCATAGTACATTTCTATGCTGTCGCATAGAGTAAAAAAAATTTGAGAAAAAGTTCTCGGGAGGCTTCTATGCGACCGCATATAATTTATACTTTGCGACCGCATAGTTATACCATTTTTTTCGCTGGACAGCTTTTAATATTTTGATCATAACTTTCTCTCCTGATTTTCGATTGAAGTGATTCAAAGTGCATTGTGAAGAAAACTCAAAGATCTACACTTTTGATAGAAATAGGCTTCCTCAAATTCTGATTTTTACTATGTCAAAAATGGATCTCAAGTAGAGATTAAAAATCACGAGCATAGCTTTTTCGCCTGAAAGTTGATACTTGATAATACTTCGATCATATTTCACCTCTTGACTCCTTTCCTCATCTGATTAACCTCTAACACTCTTGAATCTTCATTCCATTTCCCATCTCATCTATGGATTATTTGCAACTTGGTCCTCGAACTATCACTTTACTCCATTTTAGTCTTTTTTTCGGCTCTTTTCTTCTGAATTTCACCATGTTCATCGGTATTCCCTACAATTCACAAATATAACGAGATTAAGTCACAATTCAATCATTTTGCTCATTATTAAGTCATGTTTGTGACCTAAATAAGTGTGCAAAAACACACTTATCAGTGTCCATTGGAATCGGTTCTCTCCTTTAAGGACATTAAAAAATGGAACGCACTTATTAGTCGCTTTTAACACGAAGCGGCTCAATGCTACCGCTCTTTCTATAAGGCTCTAGACCTCCTTGGGTTTTTGGGGTGATCTCATTTCTATTAAGGCTTTAGTCCTGTTTAGGTTGGCCTCAATACCACTTTGATTTACCATGTACCCCAGGAATTTCCTCGAGACCACTTCAAAGGTACATTTAAGGGGATTTAATCTCATCCTGTACCTATGGAGTATCTGGAAGATCTCCTCAAAGCGTTGGATGTGGTCATCCACTTTTAGGCTTTTTGCAGGCATATTGTCCACATAAATTTTCATTGTTTTGTCGAGGAGGTTGGCGAACATCTTGTTGACAAGTCTCTCGTAGGTGGCCTCGACGTTTTTCAACTCGAAAGGTATCATCCTATAGCAGTACAAGCCTCGGTCCGTGATAAAGGACATATGCTCCTCGTCTACAGGGTTCAGGTAGATTTGGTTATAATTGAAATATGCATTCATAAAAATCAGCAATTCGTGGCCAACCATAGAATCAACCAGCTGGTCTATTCGTAGGAGTGGGAAGCTGTCCTTTGGATAAGCTCGGTTCAGATTAGTGAAGTCCATGTACACTCTTTACCTTCCGTTGTGCTTCTTGACTAGTACATGGTTTAATACCTACTTTGGATAAATGGACTCCTTAATGAACCAGTTGGCAATCGACTTTTGCACCTCGTATTTCAAGGCTTCATACCTCTCTGGATTTAAGGTTCTCCTCTTCCATCATTGAGGATTTGCCTGGGGTCAATCTTCAAGTGATGGCAACTAGTCTTTGGATCTATTCCGACCACATTTTCATGTTTCCAGGCAAACATATTTAGGTTGTTTCGTAGGAAACCTTTGAGCTTTTCTTTCAAGGTCGGTGTTAACTTTCTGCCGACCTATGAGTACTTGGGGAGTTATGAGAGTCTACCCTGAAAATTTTCAATTCCTCCATCGGAGCTGTTTGGGATTCGTCTTCTATTATAAAGGGATCCAATTCGCCAACTTGGAGGGCTTTTTAGCTATCATCCTTCTTCGGGGCCTGATTGGACTTCAATGGTCTCTTCCTCAGAGGCATCGATCATGTCAACGTCCTCCCCCTGCACAGGATATTCAATCTCATCGATTTTCATTATTATGACATTTACGCTTCACGGTTCAACTTTTTGCACAGAGCTCGAATAACACTCCCTAGCACTTCGCTGGTTGCCTTTGAACGTAGCAATATCCTGCTTTGTAGGAAACTTCATGCAGAGGTGGTGAATGGAAGTTACTACCCATATCTCTTTCAAGGCAGGTCTTCCTAACACTCCATGTTATGCTAAATGATGATCTACTACCAAGAATTCTATAAAATTGTAGGCTATGAGGGTGCCACTCCCATTTCCGTTGCCAAGGTAATTTTTTTTTCTTGGGAAGAATACTGTTACCTGTGAACCCCTACCGGGAGAGGTCACTGGTGTTAGCTCATGGTCCACCTCCATTTTGTCGTAGGTGGTCCCATATATTATGTTGATTGAACTCTCGCTGTCCACAAGTATCCTTTTGAGGCCATTTCTGGCTACAGTTGCCCTTACAACTAGGGCATCACGGTGGGGATAGTGTACCTCAGCTGCATCGTCCTGAGTGAACGTGATAGGCTAGACCTTCCTACAACTGGAGGACTGACTGTTTCTGACTATGAAGCTACCAATTTGGGGATCTTTAGCTTCCTTGGCGTAGTTCCTTTGAGTATTCCTTGTCTCGCTACCTATGTATTGCTCTCCAAATATGGTATCAATTTCTTGAATGGACTCACACCCGACATTTGGTGAAGGGCCGCTTTGATGGCTTCAACCTTCTTCATGTCTGGCACTATCTTCACCACGCCCGTGTGAGCTGTCTCTATTGGATCGGTTGCTTCCCTCATTTTCCCTTTGCCGACCTTGTCTGGGGGACTCGTCTCCATGTCGATGTTCATTCCCCATTTGGTTGGTTAGATATCTTGCTAAGTCCTAGCACCCTGACATGCTATGACTATATGATTGATGGAAGGCATAATGTGGAGGGGCCTCGTTCCTATCTCTAGGTCGATCGCTTCGTCCTCGTCCTCAAGGGGGTCGTTGCGGTGGTCTTTCCTGATATACTTCGATATTGGGATTCACTTTCTCATTAGCCAAATTCGGGATAGCATTAAGCATGGCTGTTGCTAGTCAATCAGATGTGATGTTGGGCCTCTTTCTCTTTGCATTTGGAAAGGTGGAAGACCTTGATTTGCCCTATTCCGGTGATCCTTCAATTCTTTATTGACGATCTCCTGTTGTATCATTTCTGGCAAGGCATCATAGCTGGTACGATCTTTATTCTGCACGTCTCTCTAAAAGAGTGAATTCATGTCTAATCCTTCTCTTAAGGCAGTCAATGCTTCCCTATCTGTGACCTGCACACAATAAGTCATTTCATCTTTGAAACGGGTCAAGAAGCTTTTTAGTAACTCTCCCGACTGCTGCTTTATGTCTTGCAGCCGCTGAATTGGCCCTTCTCCTTTCTTGTATGTGGCAAAGCGTTTAAGAAAGGCTTTTTTGAAATCTAGTTACCACACTTTCAGTCATCCCACTAAGGGATAAGTGGAAAGCTTTGCGATTCATTGCTGGCATAGCGCCCTTTAACCTCTTGTGAGTTTTGAAGCTGCTGAGGTCCTTTGTGGGGTCTCCTTTTCCATCGTAATTTGGTATTATGGGCTACGCAAAGTAGTTTAGTACTGGGGCACTTCTGATTTCCCGTGAAAACGACAAGTTGTTGTCATCATCATCGAGGTCGCACGACCTCTACGGTTCATCAGAATTACCTTCCCCTATTTCAGGGGCTCCTACAGGTGGTGGAGGTTGCCCTGCTTGTTCTGCCTTTCTATCTCACCTATTTCTAGGTGGAGGATTGGCATTACCTTCAGCAGGCTCGTCGTGCACCTCCAACTGAGGCTCCTCACGTTGCCTATTTATAGGCGCTGGGCATCGATCACACTTACTACTACGCTGCCCCTGGGCTTATCCTGTCAAAGACGCCGATTGACCTCCTGGGCGGATTTCCTGGGCTATATTCTAGTGGAAAATTGAAAGGGCCTTCAGTGTATTGGTCCGAAGCGTAGTTTGTTGAGGTGTATACCCTCACTTCTCTCTCCTGGGGGTCGTCTTCCCTTGAATATTGCTGATATCCCAGCCCCTTGGCTTTGAGCCTCATCTCCACCATCATAGTAATTGCCTTACAAGGAGGTATTACCATGGGGGCATCTGGTGGAATCAGATTTCCTTGGCCTTGCATGCTTCTCAATAGCTCGTGCATGGCGAGATTCTATTGAATAATATTCTTCATATTTTTCAGCCATGATGGCCACTTACATAGTGAGCCTAGTAGTTAATATAGAGCTCCCTCGAGTCCTGCCACATGAGCTGCCCTTTCTACTTGGTTGCTAAAATATGGTAAACTAATATGAAATCAAAAAAATAATTCACATGTTTTTGTATAATTTCTAATTATGAATTTAGTATTTAAAAAATACAAGCGAAGAATATCAGACGTGTATTAACAAACCTTCAATTATTGTTTTAATGGTGAGTAGTTCTTATGGACACATGCAAACGATAAAAATTGTCGGAATTCGATTTAAAAGAGGAAATCAAGAAAGTGGTACTAAACTTGGAAGTCTAATCGTTTGAGTGATGGAGTTTAGTATTGATTATGTCATATAGCGTAGGGTATTTGTACTTGACATTTAATGGGCTCGGAAGTAGGAAGTATGTGGTCAAAGCCCACGACAATAAAAATTTAAATGGGCCTACTATCACAGCTCATCGCTCTATTGGACTTGGGGCGGACTACCCCTTTCAACCCAAACTAGACTACGCGGACCATAAAATAGCCCACCCATATTTTATTAAAATTAATAATAAAAAATAAATCTAAACAAACACCAGCCTCTCCTATTCTTGTTCCTAACCAAAGCCTTCCACAAAACTCAGCCCCTCACTTCAACTTCAAAACGTAACCCCATCCTCCGTTGCCACTTTCTCTACCTCTCCCGGTACATATACATTGAGAGTGTGAGAGTTTTGCAGAAGCAATGGAGATGGCTATTGGGTTACACTCACATACTCATGTTCTCCCCTCTACTTTCTCCATATCAACAAAAAATATTGAAGCGAAAAGGAGAAACTTTGTCTATAATTTTTCTTTTTCTGGGCTTAAAAGAGAAATTTTTGGTTGCAACTTATCTTTGGTTAAGAAATCGAGTTTTAATGTTAATTCGAGAATCCCATTTCGTAATTCTGTCAGATGCTCAGTTTCTCCCGCGACGGACACCGCCCCAGGTAGCAAATACTTTGTAAATGACTCTATGAACATATAGTTATGTTGCTTTTATTTAATATCATTTTTATGTTGTTTCTAGCTTCAGAAAATTATGGGTCTTTTCTTGATGAACAAGGTTTTTGTGTTAATGATGCTACATAATTTGTACTTCTTGTGACTTAATTTGATTGGAAAATTCATTTAAACCTATTTTCTGCCTTTTCGCCCTTTTTTTTGGGTGGTGTGTTGGGTGTGTGTGTGTGTGTGAATTTGTAATTATGCTGGAGCAGGTTGTAAACGGATCAAAACAACTATTTTTTGAAAAAAAGAAAAGCAAAAATTTGTGGGGGTCAAATGACCCCACATGACGCCATGTGGATCCGCCCCTGGATATAACCTGTTACATTTGCCACGGTGTAAGATGATGCCAGATGAGCATTTTTTAGTTTGAGAGCTAGGTGAAATGTGCATTTTGATTTTCTGTGATGTTGATGGCAATGCGGGATCTTGAATTTATCATTTGTAACTCTTATAAGTGGTATTTTCCATTTTTCTTTTCGTGGTGAATTGCGAACATATGCTCTCTTAAACTTGTTTCTTAGAGTATAGAATAAAAGAATTCAAGACACTTTGGTTCATATATGTACTTTCGATTCTGATTTTCTGTTGTTTAACTCTGCCTCAGAGAAAAAGGGCCAGTTAATGCGGAGAAATGACATACGGAATATAGCAATTGTCGCTCATGTAGATCATGGGAAGACTACACTGGTGGATTCAATGTTGAAGCAAGCAAAAGTAGGTATTTTGGAAATTCTAGCTATTTTGATTTCCTTTTCGAAATAAGTTTCTAACACGAAAGCAAAGGTGGCACATGCTTTAAGATGAGACCATTTTTGAGAATCTTTCAATTGCATTCATTTCGTGGATTTCTGTCGATGATAAAGTAAGTTTGGACAAAAAAGAATTAATTAGATAAGCAGTAATCAATGGTTTCTTGACAAAACTTTTGCTTTGTGATTAGCTATTTCCTGACAATTTTTTTGTTTGTTAAATCACCTCATCCGAGTTTAGGAAGTAAATTTTACTTCAAACATTTTTGTTCTGAAGTAGTGTAATGCAAATAGTGCAATAGTATGCTGGGTGTACTGATGATCCCAAGAAAATTACTAGAAAAGGAGTCGGGACAGATATGAATACTTGTTCAAGCAAAATGCTTTATAAGAGTTACTCTCTGCCTTCCATCATTACAATACTCCCACTTTCTGGACTTTACTTCTATACCCATTAGAATGGTCACTTATCTGTGCAATACTGTTTTGGCAAATTAGGTTGGTAGGAAAGAGGGGGGTCTTGCATGTTCAATGAATCTTAAAACGTCTTTATTTGCTTATCCAGTATACGTTCTACTCCAGCTTTCCTGGCTAACTACTAAGCTATCCAGGTTCGCTACTCTAGTTGAACTCGTGTTTCCCTACAAAGTCTTTCTTAATTGGCCCTTACGTTTGTTCTATAAGGAAAATTTTTCGGTTGTTGATTCATGATTCTGTGTAAATCGACAATATCTTTTCCGTTTAAAATCATCGTGGCCTCTAATAATGTATGAAATGTTATTTTGCCTAGGGTTCATTATTCGTCTAGGTGAAGTGACGAAGCTAATTTCTATGATAATATTCTGGGCAGGTGTTCCGTGACAATCAATTTGTACAAGAGAGGATAATGGATTCAAATGATCTGGAGCGTGAAAGGGGAATAACAATACTTAGCAAAAATACATCAATTACTTATAATGATACAAAAATTAATATCATTGATACTCCAGGCCATTCTGACTTTGGAGGTGAAGTGGAGCGAATTCTCAACATGGTAGAAGGAGTTCTTTTAGTGGTACATTCTCTCCTAGCTCTCTCAAGCTGAAGTTATATTTCCAGTTATTGCATGATCTCAAACATTTGATCACTGTCTCTTTTGATTCAGATTTTCGTTCAATATGAATGCTGAGCATTTCAGCTAAAAAAAAAAAAAAAAAAAAAAAAAAAAAAAGGGAAAATTTTTTTTTTTTTTGGGTTAAATTT